TATCTAGCTAGCCAGGATGAGGAGGAGAATGGTGGACCAGATGGACCTTTAATCCAGCAGGGCTCTTCTTCTCTTACACAGAACATCATGCTCTTTCACTAAAATAAACAGCAATGCTACTAAGGGTGCGTTCAGATGGTTCTTTAGATCCACGCGAGGCACGAGTGCCTCATGGATTTAAATGTAATGTCCAGACATCAACATCTGGGAACTAGTTAAAATCTGGCGTCTTCGGTTCTGATGGGCCAGTCGCGGACTTGCCCCCATCTGATCGTTCCAGCGTGCAATTAAAATATGGCAGCCGTTCAGGATGGTCTGATGTCAGACCACCCCAAACAGGCGCCATTTTTAAAAATCTTGAATCTGCGCATGCGCGGATAAACAAGGCTGCAATATCACACCTAGCGCATGCACAAAAGTTTTGTTTAAAAAAAAACCTAAAAAAAAAAACCACCCCACATGCCTCCTTCAGTGGACTCTGTCTAGACAATCCACAGCAAAAGCAGCGCTGGATAAGGCGATTCCCCCTGGGGATATCTGGCTATGTGAGGACGGATTTTAAAGATCAGGATCAAAATGGCAGGATTAGCTGCCGGTCTGAACCCACCCTAAGAATATCTGCTCTGGAGCCATCCTTCCCGACAAAAATGTGTGAGCCGGGGACTAATATTTGCATGGCATCAAGTTGTAAAACCCAGCATAATCAAATGGGACATACCCATTCATTGCCACAAGTGGTTGTTCTTGGGAGGCAGTGGGTGGGAAATGCCGCCAAGTCACAAGCTGCAGGTAGCAACCCTGGAATTCCTTGGCGATCTCCCAACCAATTACTTAGCAGGGCCCAGCCTACTTAGTTTCCAGAATCCGATGAGATCTAGCTAGCCTGCGCCAGCCCGATCAGGTTGCTCTTTTGCATGAAAGACAAGGAGGCTGAAATTGCACCCGCCACCACCCGAAAAACAGAAGCGCGCCACCCTCGGAGCCAAGTTCTCTGCCCCCCAACGAAAGGCGCGGTTTGAGAACCCGCGCGGGGCCCCGGGGCACGGCCGGCAGCCAATCGGCTCTCCCGACAGCAGGCGCTCTCTGGAGGGCAGCCAATCAGGTGCCGAGGAGGAGGCTCTCCGAGGGGGAGCGCGTTGTCTGGAGTGTGGCGAGGCGATATAGTCGCCTGGCAGCCGCGGTTCCCTGAGAGAGGCGCGGATGGCTCCTCCGCAGCTGAGCAGCGAGGCGGGCGCGAAGGAGGCGGCGGCGGGCGGCGGCGGCGGCGGCGGCGGCGGGGGGAGCT